GAACAATTTGCAATAGGGTTCCTCATTCTTAGGAACCCGGGGCGGGTTCCCGTTCCTAGGAACCCGGGGCGGGTTCCCGTTCCTAGGAACCCGGAACCCGATGCGGGTTCCCGTTCCTGGGAACCCGGGAACCCGGAGAGACTTGTCTCAAAAGGAAAGAAAAAGTATGTCTATGAACTCTAGTGTATTCAAAAATGCACAGAAATGAATTTTCAACTGGGTTCCCGTTCCTAGGAACCCGGTACGAGTTCCCGTTCCCAGGAACCCGGGAACCCTGAGTGACTTGCTCAAAACGAAAGAAAAAGTATGTCTATGAACTCAAACGCGTTCAAACATGCATAGAAATGAATAACCAAGTGGGTTCCCGTTCCTTGGGAACGGAACCCTTGAGGAACGGGAACCCTGACACCCCTAATTCAAACTAATATAGACAAAATCGATTTATTTTATTTTTCGAAAATCTCTTCGAATTCGTTTTAGTCGACCAACATAGTTAAAATATGAGAGGAAAAATTTATAAAAATTAAACATTGTATAATTGTTTTCATCTAAATCAAAACTTTGTTAAATAGAGTTTTTGTAAGAGCTTTACATTTAACGGACTAATATTCTATGTTTCTACCACATTCCGGTCATACTTTTTCAAAAAAAATGTTTCACTTTGCTCGTAAGTGCAGGTAAAAAGCACAATTAGATATCAACAAAAAAAACCATTTTTTTTCATTCTCCTACAATCGAATAGCTATACATCATAATTCCATTAAATACATCATTTCGTTTATTCACATAAAATCACAATTCACGCTTCGAACCTGTCCGAACGAGACTGAAATAAAAGGTACATATTTTTGTTTTTTGTTGTTTCTAATATTTGTTTGTATTGGAACGACAACAAACGTCCAATCAATTCGTCGAGTGTTCTTTCAAAAAAAAAAGATTCTATGCCAATTGAAATATGCCTACAAGTAATCAAACATTGACAACTTATATTCCTCGAGCGATCTTATCATTTGATGAGAATGTAAGATATCTATTGTTCACACCATGAATATACATACACATCTAAACTATTTAGACAATCGACGAGCCATCTCGAACCGTGAAAGATATAACAACTGATGTCAAAGAACTCGTGGATGTTACTCCTAAGTTAGTAAAGAGTGAAATAAAACCAATGTGATTATTAACATTTTCATGATAGAAGATTCTATAAATCGAGAAGTCTAATGTCAATTATTTAATATCGGACGTTGAGTATTTAATCATTGTTTTATTATATTGATGCAGCTTTTTAAAATTTGAATGTTTCTTCTAAACCTATGATTTTTTCATAGGGCTGGACTATCTACAACAGCTAAAGTGCTCATTGTTATTGGAGTTGCTACCGTAGCTGCGGCTGTAGTTGCTGTTGGCGTGACACTAGGTATCATGCTGAATGCTACTACAGGTAAGTTTAAAAAATTGTTTTGTTCAATAAAAGTAATCACTAATTTTACCCTTTCGGAACATAGGAGACGCTTATAAGCGTCTGTGTCTCGAAAAGGTTTATGTAACTGGATGCATAATATTAATTTATTGTTCTAATTGATATTACTCTAGTCGCCGGTATGAGTAACACACATATACACCTTTCTCATCCCAAAAAAGTGAATAAAGCCAATTAAAAATGAAAATTAATTGACTTTGACTAATTTCATGTTTCATCATTTTGGTTTGAAAAAAAAAGAATTCCGTCCTGAAAGGGTTAAAAAGAAACAAACGATGAATACAACAGCAATTTTTTTTTAATCTCTTCATCAATAACTTCGAAATGATATATTAGATGTTTTGAACATTCATATTTACACTAAAATTGTGCATAAAATTGTGCAAAGGTTTCAAGATCATATAGCTTCAGTATAAATAACAGACAATGCAAGCTTAGTTGAATTAATTAATATCTCATGAATCGATAGACTTATTTTGAACAGAAATATGAAACGTTCTACTAAGAATTTTCATCATCATCATTTTTCTATTTCCTATTTATTGAAAACTAGCGAATAAATGTTTCGGTATATAAAATAAAAAGATTCTTATTCAAGAGTATCTATTTTCTATTATACTTCTCTTCTTGTTTTTCAATACTAGAGACAACCCGTACAACAGTCACTACGACTACTACTACCGCCACAACATCCAGTAAGTTAAAATGCAAATTTTTAGCTGAAAACGAAGAGCTACGAAGATTTGTTTTTTTTATGAGAGATTTATTAGATCTTTTTAAAGCTTCGGAATATTTTTTTCTATATCGTATATTATAGAAGTAGCACTTCTTTTACAAGATTAATCTAAATATATCTCAATATAAATTAATTTTTTTTTCAGTGGATTTATTCTCAAAAACAGTATTGTATTACAGGGACTGTCATATAAATTTCTTAACATGAAATAATTCCTCAATAGATCTATTCTAGATATGGGCTTGTCCGCAGGTAACGCACTCACGTTTTGATAACTTTCTATCTTAATTTCTCCCAAATAACTAAACACAGAGCCCTGATTTTTGGTGCATAGATGCATACTATCAAGTTGTTTAATGTACAAAAGTTTCATCTCAACTCACTTTATGGTTCACGTTTTACAAGAAAAATACATGCCGGTAACGCACTTACAAAAAAGGTTCTGTTTTTTTGATTGCTATCGGAGATGATTCATTTTCAGCAAATGCGTACGTTAGAACGACATATGATCGAGAAGAAGTTTGTAGTAGACAGTCTGGAATATCTACTGAAAACAAGACATTTTCAAAAATGTTGTCCTACTGTTGAGCTATACACTGATAATTGTGGTAATGCATTCACTCAGCTTTATAGCCGCTCACTAAAAATGCTATTCTCACAATCTTCACAGAAAACAGGAGATGATCTGTTCATGCCAAACTGTAGATCTAGCATCAAAATCACTAGCAACATCTTCATTTTTTATCAGAGTCAAGACACTGATCGAGATATGATAAGAGATAAATGTGAATTTTTAAGCGATTTTTGCACAAAAATGCTTCATTTTGGCTGTCAACTACTGTTCCTTCTCAAAATCTTTCAAGATAAACCAGATAGATCGACGCAGAATGTACGAAAACCTATTTGAAAATTTGAATTGAACACAATTATTTGTGCTCAGAATGAGAATTGCAATTCTCAACTTCAATAATGCTGGGCGCCCGTTAGCTGGACAAGCCGATATACATATATCTCTGTTCGTATTCCTTTGCATCTAACTCTCTAACATGAATTGATCCTTCCATGAATCAATTTATATCGATAATCGTTGTTCTAAAATTTTTACAACTAATTAACAACATCGGATTTCTCAATGGTTAGAGTGATGACTTCTCAGTTCATATATTTGATATTCGAATCCTTATTCGATTCACTCTTGTTTTTGTTACTAAGGACTGTTTTTTAAGCTTAACATACTATAAAGAAAATCTCTATAACAATCCCTGTGAAAGAAGAATTCTACCATATAATACCGACACCCATATTCTCAAATTTTAATATATTCCAAAACAAGAACAAATACTAGAATTTATTTATAAAATCCCGAAAAAAAAACAAGTTCTAGAAACTGCTGACAATTAGTTATCTGAATAATGATCATTTGATTTACATGCTCTGATAATTGATAAGCATTCGAATTCTTAGAAAATAATATTGTACAAGGTTTCGATGTCGAGACAAAAAATCAAAAATTCTCTATGCAACCATAGTAAAACAAAAAAACCTGACAAATGTAAATATTTCGAGTCGAGAGTAACAATTGATTGTCCGTAGTTTCTATTCTTACTAATTAAATTAAAAGACAAAAGTGTTCATACATCACACATTTATGTGTCGAAATTAGAAATCTATAAATTATTATGTTAGTAACTGCTTTTAGGTTTTATTTTTATTCATTGATTTTTTTTACAATATTAAAGCATCTTTCTAATATTAAAAACTCAGTATATACATAAAACTGACAAAAAATAAGTTGTAGTTCTTGCTTCGTATTGTACATACATGATTAAATCTTCATTTCTAGCTACAACAACTGCTATGGCAGCACCCTCAAATCTCGTTGGTTATCGAAGTAATATTAATCAAAGTTATGTTTTTGCTTTAACGGGATCTCGTAGTGGTACCATATGGGGTACAAATATTTACACAGATGATTCGGATCTTCCCACAGCTGCTGTACATTCAGGCATTGTTCAGTACAATCAAACAAGCGTAATCACGGTCACAATATTAGCTGGTCAAAGTAGTTATACAAGTACTACTCAAAATGGTATTACTTCTCTTTCATACGGCTCTTGGGGTGGTAGTTATACTATTGTTAGTGTCATTGGATGATAATAACGTGTTTTTTGTTTTTTCTATCAAATATTCTTCAAATAAACATTAACATATTGATGTTAATTTCTAACTTGTAATCTCAAAACAAATTTAAACTATGAAGGATGTTTCATATTTCTTTAGTCACTTTATTTTTTGTTTCGTATGCAATTATTGTTATCTATGTAAAAAAGAAGAAAAAGTCAGCAGACATCTGAGAAATCATCATTGGATCTTTCATCAGAATAAAATGACAAACGAAGATAAACTTTTTAATATCTTCAAAAATGAGTAAGAATAATGCATACATTCTAGCTGAGTCATATAAAACTGTAATAGGTACACACATTTCTTTTTGTTTTGTGTCCTTCATAAAGAAAAAAAAAATAGTCAGTTTTCATTACTTGTCATCATACCATTCGACAGAACAGCGTGTCGTATTTCACAACATGATGCAAGTCAAACATATGTCATTGTATGTTTATTATAATTTCTTCTTATCAATACAAAAGAGTCGGCCTTAAATAAGCATAATAGTATTATTTGGCGTACAGAAACCGGATAAACTTAATAGGATTGTGACGAACCAGTTGTTAATCAGGTGAGGTTTTAATTATTATGGCCAATCAGACAAAAAAACAGCTCAATGACATGTACATGTCAGAGAAAAGGAGATTAATGCTTATGATCATTGATAAGTACTTGATCGAGAGAACAATCATGTATTTTTAACATAGATTTTGTTCTCTTCTCAGTCTGATTGTCATGATGTAAAGATTATGAATGTGAGTCATTAAGAGTATAATCGTAATAAAAAATTGCTGGTAGTTGATTTCAAAATTTGATTCTTTCAAATATTTATATTCGATCCTGTTAGTTTTCTTCTGTTTATGTATGACCTATCTATTCTTTTATATTTGATCAATTTTGTATATAGAAAACCTTCGTTTGAAACATTTTGAATGCGAAATATTTTTAACGTTCATCAAAAAGTTAAACAGGTATATCTCTTTTTGTTTTTTATTCTGACAATACATTAATTGTTACAATGACTGTTCATTTCTCTTCGTCCAAATAATTAACAAAAAGTAAATTCTCAGACAAGAAAAATTTGTTTATTTCAGAACAATGTCTTCAATTATATGTAATGTTCCTTCCGATGTATCTGTTCCTCCACGGTTCGTCGTTAATCTTGATTCACCTCCAATGTTAAGATGGCAACATATCTTACGTCTATATAAAGATCAACTTCGTGAAGTTGAAAAAAAGATCGATTCAATGGTGAATGAAATTGTTGGTCAATGGATGGGTCCTATGCTTGAAAATGTTCTATCAACAATCATGGCTGGTATAACACAATTAGGACTTGTTTATTATGGACAAGAATTGAAAGGTTTCTCACGTGACACGGGAATGCCATTAGGTAAATTAGTAATGATACAATTTGTTTATGAATGTTTTGCATGTTGTACATCAATTGTGTGTCAAGATGAACAAACTAATACTCCAATGCATATTAGAACTATGGATTGGGGACTTGATTTTTTGAAACAATTGACTATTGGTACGTATATATTATCTTCTTCAAAACATTTTAAAATCTTAGTTACTTCTCGAATAAGATTATTTTTTTGTTTGTCAATGCTTTTTTTGTGTGTGTAGATGTTGATTTTCAAAGGAATGGTCAAACAGTTTTTAAAGGCACAACATGGATTGGTTATGTGGGAATTTTAACAGGAATGAGAGTTCAAAATGGTTATTCTGTATCGGTTAATTTTCGACATACAGGTGGACAATTGACAACAAATCTTAAAACTGCTTTAGCCAGGTAAAATTACGAAAGATGCCTTTAAAAAATAAGACATTTGTTCTATCTCTTTATTATCAGATAACAAACAGACAGAGAATATTGTGTTCTACAAGAATATAAGTCTATCGATCAAAAATCATTATTTCTTTATACGCAAAAAAAAACACGAAATGAAAAGAGTTATACACGTGGGGTACAGTTCCTTCATCGTACAACTGAGTCTAATCATCAAATTTGAAGATTTCTATACATCGACATATCAGTAGAAACTTTATATTTATAGACAAAATGTTCGACAAGACTAACTCTATCATTCAGCATGAATTTTCAGATCAAGAAACTTGAATTTGTACAAAAAATTTTGATTGAAGTAGTTCAATATCATGTTTGATAAGGTAAGAATCTAGAAATTAACTCCTTGATTGACTAAATCATTTTTAATTTCAAGAGAAAACATACAGTGTGTGTTAAAACATAATAATTATTAGGCAGAATCTATTTGTCATACGAAGTGTATCGAGTTGTACGTTTTTTACATTATGATGCAAAATGCGTTCACAGATGCATCCGACTCGAAAAAAAAACCGATTGCAATTAGACAAACTTAAGCAGACGTTGGACTTTCTGCCAATTTTTTGCAGCTTCGTGATAACTTTAGACAGAAACTGGATTTTGAAATATCATTTGCCTTTCATTGACAGAGAGTGAAATAAAAATAAACAGTCAATGTCGTTATGAGGTGAATAGGTTTGGAGGAGAAACGACCTGGTGGCAGGTTGTCTGTTATGAGAGAAGCCGGGCCACGATATGTTTCGTTCTTGCAGAAATAAAAATACTTGCTGCCGAATTTTCAGCCTCTTCTACCTGTAAAAAATATCGGCAATTCTAAGTTATAGTCCTATTTTGTATAGTCCATTTCATTCCATTTTCCCACGATGTAGGAAAATATAGTGTTTATTGGTTAAGAGAATTATATCTTTGCAGAAGAAAAGATTCTCTGTTCTTTTGTTTAAGAATGATTTGTTCTAGAAACTTTCCAAAAATCTGAAAAAGACAGTAATTTTTCTAGTGGCTGGCCAATTGGTTTTCTTGTTCGTGAAATATTAGAATCAACACACAATTATGAATTAGCTGTTGAACAACTTGCACAATCTTCAATAATTGCACCATGTTATTTTACTATATGTGGAACAAGTCAAAGTAAGACTTTGGGAACTTTACTAACTCGCAAACAAACATTAGAAGAAAACAGGTAAATTAAAATCAAAATACATATTAATCATTAATTGGTTTTTGTTTTTACATTTTAAAGATGGACAGTTTCTGAACATGGTTCTATCATACAGACTAATATTGACCATTGGAGTTCAGAAAAACATGAAGATATTTTATTTTCGATTAAACGTCGAGATTTATCCAAACGATTCTTGAGTCAGATGAAAGGAGTCAATGAATATGAATTATGGAAGGTAATAAGACATTAAATCAATCTAGAGCATTGGATTTCTTCGACAGTTAGTCATTGTCTAAGTGCGCGACAAGTATCCATTACAGATAAGAAAAATTTTAATACGAAAAAAAAAACTTTGAAACCATAAACAATTGACTTTTTTTTGTCCGTTGCTCATGTTACAAGTCTATTGTTGATTATTGATCCTATAGTAGCAATTGTTACATAAATCATATAAATAATTCGAACAAGAAAAACTTTTCTCATAGTTTCGTAGTAAATATTATTTATATTAGTATTAAGTTCATCTGCTATCAGAACGAAATAATTTCTTAAGGTACCTTACATAAACTATTGAAAAATGTAAAACGAAAGTTTTATTCGTTCAGCTCTGTTCTGCTTTCAGATAATAAATATTTTTTCGAAAAATTCGTTTTGTGTCTATTCATGTGCTTAAAGAGATGATAGGACAGGTTTCGTGCAAATCAGATGTATTATTTCAATGTTTTATTTAATTTTACTCATTTTCTTTCTTTTTGCTCTTTTTTTTTTGTATTTCTATTTGTTAAAAGAAAAGATGACTATTATTTAAAAAAAAAGCATTATATTAGATTTGTAGGGCATGAACGGCTCTTCCTGACTTGCCCTATTAGTTACTCTTACTTTCTCTTTTCTATTTCTGATGATTTACGTTATTTTCTAGCTTTTATCGGAATATCCAATATGCAATAATATAACCATATATGGGACATTTATGTGTCCAGAATATGGTATATATCATACACGATATCCTCAAGATAATCGAGGATTTCACTCACACGAAAACGTTCAATTTATCTCACTGACTGATTTGAAAGTAAGTCATTTAATATTTAAAAGAAAATGCTGCTAGACTGCATAAAATATAATACTTTTTCTTTATCTATTTTAAATATTAATAAAGAATGAGAACTACATTTTATTATATTACTCTTCATATTCATTTAGGATGATTTATATTGGCGATTATCATCAACTTATGTTTGTTGTAACTGTGGACGCGAATTTGATATTAATGACAATCCTGGTGGTAATTGTGTGCATACTGGAGCATGGCATGCAACATTTAATGATTGTTCCTATTTAAAATGTGGTTTTCACTTAGGTAAAAAAGCATCGATTGGTATACAACACTGGTCATGTTGTTATTCATTAAAATCTCGATCAGATACTTGTACCCAAAGCAATTCTCACACATTTATCAAACAATAAGGAATAAAATTCTACAGTTCTTAATTATTTTAATTTTATTCTCATATTTAAATAAACTTGAAAATATTATCGGAACAATACCTTAGCGATTAGAATATATCCATCTTTCCTAATTAAGGATTGAATAGTTAATTTGTGTATAAAATGTCTTTGCACAACATATTGGGATGAGTATTAAATTCTGATTCTCTTCAATGACTCATAAGTAGACAAAAATTTATCAGACATGTTGTGTAAAGCACGTAGATTATTAAGATATTTGTATCTCGAAAATGAATGAAGTTAATAAAACTTTTATTATTAAAATAATTATCTATCGCCATTGAATCATAAAATAAAAGAAGGCGCTAGTTCATTATCTGGCATTTTCTTCTAATTTATTTTTAACATGATGCAACTTTTTGGAGTCTAAAATGATCTATACAATGATGATAATGATGAAAAATATTCTTTTGAATTCAATGCCAGTAGTTTTAGATGACGATGATTTGTGATTGGCAAATAGAAGCCCAATCTATGTGTAAAAAATTTTATTCGTGCATTTTTTTTTTGTATTATTTGAAATATTTTAAGCTATGACAAGGCAAACAAAATGAATTATATGAAATAGAAAGAGAAGAAATATGTTTAATTTTTTTTGTGTTATGAATGTCATAACTTCCTTTCAGAACGGCTTAATCATACATTGGGTAATTTTTTCTCTCTGTCTTCTTACTTAACGGATGTGACAACGATTATGCATTAATCTTTTTTCTTTTTGAGTGAGTGTTGCAATGTAATAGCGTAGAAACTTGATTCTTTTTTCTTAGAATGACCAAAACATTATGTACAAAAATATATCATAGAATTTGATCGCAAATGTTTCCTGAAAGTCACAGAAATCTTAGAACAAAACGTATTATGAAACTCGTTCACAATTTCATCCAATAAGAAAGATTTTCTTTTTTATTCTTCTTGTCCAAGTTTTATAACGTAAGGATAGAAGGACTATGATTCTATCAAAAAACGAAATATTCTATAACTTTCAGAATAGTCGATATCAATTCTATTATAGCATCTTCTGTTAACATCGATTCTTCGTAACTAGTGATCACAGTTCAGAAACTAAATTCTATTTCGAAAGAGAAGTTGTTAGAATATATATATATATATATTTTACATGTAGAAGGTTGTGTACCTCATCGCCGAAAATATGATAACCGAAAACGCACATCGCCGAAATCACATGCAAATTTTCGCTAAAATTACATGTGCTTTCGGCGACATGAGTTTTCGATGATCTTATTTTCGGCGATGAGGATTCATACCGTTTTCACATTACAAACCTCATTTTGAATTTTGAATTAAATTATTTATTGTTCAGTCTACTTCTATGTTAGATTAATTATTTTAATATTACATGAAAGTCATCCTTGTAATGAGCAGTTATATATATATCGAAAGTTGACAATGAAAAAAGTCAATTAAATATATTTGGAAACAAATTTTGTGACCTTTAGAAAAAAAATTTCCGATCAAACTCTTTTAAACATTTTTACGTTAGGCATTTTACTCTTTCTAACACAAAAAAAGGATAAAGTATTGATGATATTGCATTTCAACCCTACGTCAAAAGCAAAATCAATACAGAAATTTTGTCGCACTTGTTAATAATTCCCACCCACTGCTATTTCCCAGCCACATTCGTCCTTTACTAGGTCAATATGCAATAAGATTCCATCGTTCTAATCGTAGCATAACTTTGAATTACAATATATAGAGCGATATATTGAATGTTTAGCGATCTAAAATATCAATAAACAGGTAGAGATCATTTTAATTGAAAATCCATATGAACAAATTCAAGAGAAATATGATTATCAATATAGATTTTAATGTTTGTCTTTTCTTTTTCGCTGTTTGCTCTACACAATGTAATGACTACTGTACTTTCATATTCTTTTTTTTAGATCGAACTCGACGGTATTGACGACTGCGCAAATATGGAACCATCGGAGAGTAATAAGACGGTCAATATGCAATCTGCTATAACAAGTCTAAATGAATCGGATAATGATAATAAACAAATTTTTCAATCATCATCTTATTCTACATCACAACAAGGTTCAACAAACTCTGATACTCTTTGTATTGTATGTTCGACAAGAAATCGAGCATTGGCATTTGTACCTTGTGGACATTTTAGTGTATGCGTGCCGTGTGGTCATGGTTTGGTAGCATGTCCAATTTGTGGAACAAATATTAAAGCATTATTCAAAGTTTACAGTTGAACAATATACCAAATATTTCAATCATTTGATAGTTGATGTTATCATAGAAATTTCTAATGATTTACTATTTGATTACATCTTTTAATCTAGAATATCTATAACTTTTTGATTAAATATAATAAAACATTGTCACATATTTTCATTGTACAATATGCGACTAAATTATTATCAATAAAATGTAAACAAGACGAATTTTTCCCATCGATTCATATATCAACTTGAACAGATATTGTTAGAAATCATTTGTTCTTGCGTCACTTTCGAATAAAAATCGAAATTTAAGAGTCCATATGTTTCATAAAATAATTCATAATAATAACAAACTAGAAATCCTCTTCTAAACAAAAATACTCGTTTCTCAAGGCTAAATATATCCTTCAAAATAAATACGTAGATGATTGAGAACACAAATGTACACCTGTATCTATAAAAATCAGAATAAAACCTCTATATTGATCCACAAGAAACCAAAGCATAACATTTACAATAATTTGCTTCCTTTACTCTTTGTGTATTTTGTTCGTTGTGTAAAACATGCATAATTTTTTATTCTGATTACATTGAATTTGATTATAGTTTGATTTCGAACATCATAATAACTCTCAAAATTCAAAAGATATATAAAACACATTACACTCCTGACAGTGATGACTCGAGGCAGTCTGACAATTGGAGGAGAGTGACCTTGTTTTTTTAGGAAGGAGTGATTTTTTTCTTAAAGAACGCAAGAAAATTTTTTTTTTTTACTGGGAAAAAATAAAAAGTTTCCACGATTGTAAAGTGACGCATCTCCGACACTTCCGTCAGTCGAACTGCCACCGCACTTAGATTATGTGATTAAGACGTGACATACATCATGATGTATCAAACATGTATTTATTTTCTTTTTTAGTAAGTCTTTTCTTTACTTTAAGAATCGATTCTGAATGTTTATGCTTCATTTTGTCAATTTCAAATATTTGTTTAATTAGTTTTGTTTATACAGTGTGAAAGTGTGACGTCAAAGTCATATCTTTCTTTCAAATCACAAACGATTGAATCAATACATTACAATCGAACAAAATTTTGTATGTAATAGAAAATATTTATAAGATCAAAACTCAAATCAAATACAATAATAAGATGAATGAAAAGACAATATAAAACCAATATGTCTACTTATTTCAATGTTAGACTAGCTAATATTCGAATATATAAGAAAATGAAAAAGAAACAAAACTACGCTTGTTTTTATTTGCAATGACCAATTAGATGTACGCACAAAATGAATACATCATATTAACAATGTGTACTGCAGTTGCATCACAATCTGAAAGTAACAACAAAAAAACGATCCAATAGCATTCATCATGTGAAAGAGACGAGATGAATTGTAATCTATCGAAAAATGATAAAGCAATCCCGACTGTTGTTATTAATATTTGTCTTGGTTTGGCGTATTTTTATGTTGAATACGATGAGTCTCAATTGTTTCACTATGTGCCATTGATATTTTCGCTTTTTGTGCGATCTTTTAGCTGAGACATACGCACCTATTGGACTTAGGGACATTATGTTTCGCACCCGAACTCGACCTAGACCTGAACCAAAGTTAATCGACATCTGACAAATACTTTCACAGTTTAGTTTCTTCCATAAATAGCAACAAATAAAATAGAGATCATCTCAAATTCCGCAAAAAGACAAGTAAATCAAGTGATTTGGGATTCATTTGGTGTCTTTCTATTTCTAAAACCCGGTAGATTTCGCTAAGTATACGTTTTCTTATTTCTAATAACGCTGTAATGAAACGTTGTTTAGGTGTCTAACGTCATAATTGTCAATACATAAGTGAATGCATTTTCCATTGCGATAATACATGTTCACCTTTTTAATAATTCATTTTCTCGGGTATGATCTCCAGTCAAGACCTATATTCCAGGCGGGCGACCCGGTTGCAGGATACTGCCACGAATTCACCCGCTAATCAAAGTTCAAGAGTTAGATAAAGCGTTGTGTGTTGCTTCTACTATCGGCAACGGTTTATTTTCGGTATATTTTTTTGTGTTAATACCATTCTCATACTAATTAATGTAATTTATACACTACGGAATGCTTTGTATGGACGAAAGATACGATCATTATAAGCAATTACTATGATCTATTATTTATATTATTCGTATTTGAAATTCACATAGGTTTTTTTTACTATAAAACTTTTCGAATAATTTCTATTATGTATGGCAGACATATATTTTGGTAAAAGGTTAAAAGCACCAGGGCAGGCCGAACAGTCCATTTCCAATACTGGTAGTTTTATGTTGCTTGAATAGGAACGATATTGAAATATTGTCCTCTACGTAATTCACAACTCTCAATTGCTCGTATCATATTTAAAAAAAACAGGCATGATCTTTATTTTAAGCAATCATGCGGCAAGTTTATCAAATAGGAATGTTTGGCATTGGAAAATAGCCAAGATGAATAGTCAGATAAATATTCAATTATTTTGATGTATTTTTTTAATCTATGAATACAAAAAAAAAATCAACGCTTTTTGAGTACGTCAATAGCAACTCCAATTAACTTTTACACATCTCTTTTATCCTTCTAGTGTTAGTCACTATTATATATAATAGTACAATCACTATCAATGGCTTATCGTTGTCATTTCGTCATCAGTGTGCGATTCATCCCGTTGAAAAAGATTAGTCTTCACTTCTTTATTTCGTTGTACGTCGTTTTTTTGAT